AGTACTGGATGTGTTTGTGGAATCGAACCATACTTTTTGTACTCTAAACCTCACATTTAAAAATTTAACCATGCGATACTGCTTTTTGTCTAATAGTGGAGATGTCGTGTAGGCTGCAGGATTTTTTTTAGTGTATTTCAATGGACTGCAGTTAATTTTTTTTCCATTTTGGTTAAATAAAATCTATCTGCTAAAAAGTTTCGGGGTGCAATTGTATGGGGAATGTAACCAAAATGAAAATGCATACATTGTGCAAAAAAAAAAAAAATGTAAGAATTATATAAAATAAAATAATAAAAAAAAAAAGTTTCACCAGCCAAGATGAGGTAAACGTGCTCAACTATTAGGAAGTTCATGAACTCAGCAATAACCATGTGACACTGATCCTGAGGAAATGAGTAAAGGAGCTGGGTCCATTTCCACAGCTTGAACAGCCATCAGTAGCTCCTTTCCAAGGATCAGACTGTCAGGGGGTGTTCTGGTCCCACTGAAAGCGTAGGCCTTCTTTACCTTCAGCTCACCCTCCAACTCAACATGTTAATACATAAGAACACCTACGTGACAGGGACTAATGATTGATTTTAAGTTTTAAATTACTGTAATGATATTTCAGAAGCTAAAATCCTCCCCTGGGGCTGAGCCAGGGAGGCTTGAAGCAGAATCACGGAGCTGTCTACACAGCCGGCAGCAGTATGTTAACAACAGGTGCTTCTTGCGCTTCATGGAGTGCAGTGACACCTGTCCACACCCACAAGTAAGAGAGACAGGTGGTTTCCTGGGGTGGGCGGGGGGTGCATGCTGCTGGCATTGCCCTGGGGATCCATTCACCCTCCTTCCAGGGAAAGGCCAGATTTCCCTCATTAAAAGGAATTTAGCCTCTTTGTGGTACAAAACTGTTAGTTTGAAAGCACTTGTCTTTGTTTGCAAGGAAAAAAAGTATATGTACACTTTTAGATATATATGTACATATATACACACTTACTTTATTTTAAATTTCTTTGAGCTTTTAATGTAAACACAATATATGTGCAGGTTTAAAATGTCAAACTGTACAAAAACCACACAGTGATAAATCAGTCTCCTACCACCCTTCACCCTCAGCCCCTCTTTCTTCCTAGAGGAAACAGCTTTTATGACTATTTTTATTAATATCTTTCTAGAAATACTACCCTCAAATACAAGCATATCCACAATGAGATAATCTCCACTCTAACAAAAATGGTAGCATGCTACTTCCTGCTTTTTAAAAATTAAACCTTTTTAGATAATGCAATGATGGGAAGTAATGCAGAGGGTTCCAGTACTCTTAACCCAGTTCCCCTCAATGAAAACCTCCTGCAGAACTGTCCTACAATGTCATCACCAGAATATTGACATTGATATACTCCATCCACCTCGTTCAGCTTTCCCCACCTTGACTTGTACACTTTACGTGTATGTAGCTCTAGACAGTTTTTTGTTTTTGTAAAAAATTGGGGTATAGGCCAGAGGTGTGGTGGAGGGGAGAGGTGCGGTGAGAGGATTCACCAGAGACAGACTGAAATACACTGCTGAGGGGAGCAGCAGCTGAGGCAGGAGAGGTCTGCTGCACCATGTGGGTTAGCTCCCTGGTCAGGGATCAAACTCATGCCTCAGTGGCTGGCGATAGCTTGATAACACTGAGACTTAACCCTCGCGCCACCAGGGAGACCCAAATTTTTATTTTCTTTGGATAAATTCCCAAGAATAGAATTGCTGGTTCATATGGTAATTGTATGTTTAATTTTGTAAGAAATTAAAAACTTTAAGAAATTTTACCATTTGACATTCCCACCAGCAGTACAGTTTCTTTGTATTCTCACCAGCATTTGGTATTATCACTATTTTTTCTGCAAATAAGCAGTTTTATTTCTTACTTTCCAAGCTGTATGTCTTCCTCTTCCTCCCTCCCTCCCTCCCTCATTTCAGGGTTGGTTTTTTTTTTTTTTTTTCCACTGATAATTTTCTGGTCATGAGATTTTCATTTGAAGATCTTCATTTTATGGAAACACTGGTGTCAAAATCAAGAGATTCTGCAATTTGTTTAGCTTCAGATGTTCCATACACACAATCACTGGTTTTCTTCGAAGAATTTCTTTGACAAATTCCTTTGATGCTGCAAAATGCATTATGCACTTGGATTTGGTTCCTGCATCATTTGGCTTGTATCACTAATTTTACCTAATATATTATTAAATTAGTGCTGAGTAAATACAAATTTAAATTGATATTTTCAAAAGTGTACCTCTGGTTTACATCCTAAAAGCCTAATCAATAAAATTATGAACAATTACAGAGAAAGAATGTAAGTTGGCTATCCATTTGGGTCAGTACTATTAATCTACCTCATTCTTTTTCATGGCTTTGTAGCGCTCCATAATAAAAGCACCTTTATTTATTTAGCAACTAGGAGCAATGCTTTAGTAAATGTCCTTTCACCTATCTTTGCATCCTTGTGCAGGGTCTTATAGAAAAAATTCTAGAAATACAATTACTGCATCACAAACTATGTTCTCTTTATATTTTGATAGTAACTGAATTGTCCTCTAAAGAGGCTACACCATTTTACAGTTTTATCCAATATGGAATCTTCTCAAATTTTAAAAATCCTTGCCAATATGAGAGATTAAACAGGAATATCTTTTGTTACAGTTGCTGAATTGTAGAGTTTAAACTTTGCTTAAGATGAAATCAAGTTTAAAAAACTAAAAGGTGGGGTCTCCGTGATGGTGCAAGGGGTTAAGACGCAATCTCTGAAGCTAACTGCAGCCTCTGCAGCATGAGTTCGATCCCCAGCCAGGGAGCAACCCACGTGGCGCAGCAGACCTCTCCTGACTCGCCTGCTGCTCCCCTCAGCAGTGTATTTCAGTCAATCCACCTGTTCTGTTCCCCACTCTATCTCTGGTGAATCCTCTCACCCCCTGCACCTCTGGCCTGTGGCCCTGTTCTTGTGTGCATAAATAAATAAATCTTTTTTTAAAAAAAACTAAGGGCCTCTTTGGTGGTACGGGGGTTGGGACACAACCTGTGAAGCAATCCGCAGCCACTGCTACATGAGTTCGATTCCCAGCCGGCCAGGGGGAGAAACCCACATGGAGGGGCAGACCTCTCCTGTCTCGACTGCTGCTCCCCTCGGCAGTGTATTCAGCCAGTCTGCCTGTTCTGTTCCCCACTCTGTCTCTGGTGAATTCTCTCAACCCCAGCATCTCTGGCCTGTACCCAATTCTTCTCTAAAAATGGATAAATCTTTAAAAACAAACAAACAAAAATAACACTAAAAGGTGACTTTCTAAAAATAGGACTATATTATCGCTATTTTTTATTCAATCCAGTTCTCTTGGCTGTATTTTTAAAATAAGGTATGGCTCGGTAAGCATTTCTTTATGGATATCCAGGGAGCTATAGTTGAGATACTATATGTATCTCAAATGTCACCAAACACTGGTATAAGCCAATGAATAAATCTCCTGTATTCAAGGAGCTTGTAGCCTTGCAGGGGAGTTCAAATAATTTCATTGTAATACAGTATCAGTATAAATGTCTAAAGTGGCTGCTATCTTTACTGTATAGGTCAGAAAAGGAAATCAACTGAATCTAGCTGTTGAGAAAGTGGCATGTTCTCTACTGAGAACATCTGAGCTGTGAAGTAAAAGATCTACTCTCCTAACAGTTTTTATATGTATTATTCATTCTCCTGTTGATGTTTGATGTATATTTGTTTGAGTAGTTTTCAGTGTGAGGCCATTATCAATAGCGTGGCATGTTCGTGTCTTTGGAAGCACGTGTTTATGGCTTTCTTTTGGAATTGGAACTGCTGAGTCCTGGGGAAGGTATGTGTTGGCATGGGGTAGGTATATATGTAGATACTGCCAACAGTTTTCCAAAGTGATTGCACATTTTACACTTCCATCAATGGTCTCCAAAGGAGTTCCACTTGCTACACAACCTTGCCAACACTTTTCATTCCTTTTCGTTTTAGTTATTCTAGTGGGTGGTATTGCATTTTGGTTTTAATTTGCATTTCCTTGATGACTAATGAAGTTGGAAACGATTTCATAAGCTAACTTCCCTCATCTTTTTTTTTCTCATTTTTTTTATTATAACACTTTCTCATGCAGAAAAGTTGAAAGAATTGTATAATGAACATTCATATACCTAGTACCTAGAATCAAGCACTGTTAACCTTTTGCTATAATGCGGGAGGTGTAAGAGAGATGGTTTTGCTGACCCTCATATAGTTGCAATCATAGTGACACTTGATCCATAATTACTTCAGGAATTATCTCCCAGTAATAAAAACATTTTTCTATATAACCACAATACCATGATTATATCTAGCAAAAGTAACAATAATTTTCTAAAAATATCATTTAGTAGTCTGTGTTCAAGTCTCTCTGGTTGTCCCCAAAGTACTCACCATCTAGATTGTTGAACCAAAAGCTGATCAAGGCTGACTTACTGCATTTGGTTGCTGCAGTCCTTTAACAGACCCACCATCTCTGCCCGCACCTCCACCCAATGACATTGACAGGGTCTTATAGAAAAAATTCTAGAAATACAATTACTTCATCACAAACTATGTTCTCTTTATAGAGGCTACACCATTGAAGAGCCCAATTCTCTCCTGGTTGTCTATTTAAAAAAGTTGTTAAATATTCTAAAACTTTACTGACTTAAAAACAATGATATTTCACAATTTTTGTGGATCACAAATTCAGGCAGGGTTCAGGCAAGCAATTCTTCTGTTTCACATGCCATTCATTGTGGTATTCACTTAGCGGCTGGACTATTTGGAGGGTTCAAGATGGCCTCGCTTTCATGTCCGACACCCTGGTTTGGATGGCAGGAAGTCTGGGCTCAGCCGGGGGTGTCTACCAGACCTTGTCTCTAGCACAGTGACCTCAGGGCGGTCACATTATTTATATCCTGGCTCGTGGCTCTGAGAATGAGTGTTTTGGTGAACAGGACAGAAGCTGCCTTACCTTTTATAATAAGCGATAGATACCAGATTGCATCACCTTCATCTTGTTCTGTTCAAGTAATCACAAAGTCCACCCAGATTCAAAGAATTTGAAGCTATATCTTAAAAACTGCCCTAGCCTGCCCTGTGGCCACAGATTAATAGCCTTTCTCTCATGTGCAAAAGGCACACACCATTTTCTAAGATTCCTCCATACTCCTACACCATTATGACATCAGGATCAGGCCTTTCAGAATCTTGGGTTCCCTGTGAAGTTGTAGGATCACATCCTATGAGTCGTAGAAGCACTACTGTCCAGCTGAGAGGAGCTATTGTATGAGGCAGGCCCTTAAGATTATTAGGGAAGGGCCTCCCTAGTGTGCAAAGGGTTAAATCTCAGCACTATGAAGCAATCTGCAGCCAATGTAGCATGAGTTCAATCCCCAACCAGGGAACTAATCAACTTGGCACAGCAGGCCTCTCCCGTCTTGCCTGCTGCTTCTCTCAGCAGTGTATTTCCGTAGATCTACCTGTTCTGTTCCCCATTCTGTCTCTGGTGAATCCTCTCACACACACACCCCATGCACCTCTGGCCTACATCTCAGCTCTAGTATGCATAAATAAACAAATATTTTTTAAAAAGATTCTTAGGGAGCCTTTTGGATAACTGAGGCTAAAAACAATTCAATGTCTTTCTGAGCTCATAAATATGTCTTAGAGTCATGCACTGGATTCCCTGAGATAATATTTTATTAGTAGTCCTGTTTTAAGACTACTAACCTCTTCATATTCTAATTTTATCGACTTGTGTCCTCTTGGTGTCATTTAACATTTTCTCAAATTCCCCACTCCTCCTTGTATTTCCTATAAAGTTAAGGGTGGAGGTTTGATTGGATTCAGGTTAAATATTTGGTAAGAATACTTTCTGGGTGGCCTCCCTGGTGGCGCAAGGGGTTAAATCTCAGTACTATGAAGCTATCCAAAGCTACTGCAGCACGAGTTTGATCCCCGGCCAGGGAGCTACCCACATGGCGCAACAGACCTTTCCTGTCTCGCCTGCTGCTCCCCTCAGCAGTGTACTTCAGTCAGTCTGCCTGTTCTGAATCCTCTCACCCCCCCACCCCACACACACACCTCTGGCCTGTACCCTTGCATGCATAAATAAATAATTTTTTTTTTTAAAAAAGTACTTTCTGGGGGACCCAGGGCACATCATACTGCTTGACAGCTACAGGCAAACAGCCCAAGTTATCTCATCATTACCATGCCAGGGCTAGTCACGTCCATATGATGGTCACCACCAGCTCTCTCCATTGTACAAATACATGTCCCTTTTTCGTGATGTAATCCGTGGGGTGATACTATAAAAAATTATGGAATGCTTCACAAATTCCCACCATCCTGTGCAGGAGCCATGTTAATCTTTCCAAAATTCTCCCAAGGTTATGCTGTGCCATGGAAATACTCCCTGACCTGGCTCTCACGAATACTGGTCTTCCCTCTCCTGCCCCAGCTCCTCTTCCTGCTCCAGGTACCTTAGACTATCCCTGAACTGATCTAGTTTCCTTGGGAGTAGTTTTTGTCTCTCCAGCTTTAAGCTGTTTTCCCTTGCTCCAATGTTTCTATCAACCTGATCCCAACTGTCTTCCAGCTTACAGGTGCGTGTATATTTCTGGCATTCTGGGTGTTGTGTGTACTTACAAAATGCCCACAAAGAGATGGAATGTGTAGTTTCGTGAGATTTGAAGCAGGAAGTAGGAATGTTGGTGTGTGTTTGTTTCAGCCAGATATTTGTAGTCCATCTTTGCTCCTAGGAAATTGTATCGTAGGGTAACAATGAGGAAATCTCAGAGAGTGAAAGTGCAAACCAGATTATTATGGACTGAAAGTTTCCCTTCCTACCCTCACTCCCCCAATCATATGTCAAAGTTTTAACCCCCAATGTGACTGCATTTGGAAATAATGTCCATAAAAAAGCAATTAAGGTTTAAATGAATTCAGAATGGCGGGGGTGGGAGATGGGGGAGGGGTATCTTTACTCCAATCAGACGGGTGTCTGTATAAGCAAAAAGGGAGAGACCACACATGAGAACATAGCAAGAGGGCGGCCAGCTATAAACCAAGAAGAGAAATTACAGGAAAAATCAGCCCTGCTAGCACAATGATCTTGGACTTTCAGCACCCAGAACCGTGAGGAAGTTTCTGTTGTTTAAGCTACACAGGCTGTGAGCGCTATTCTGTAATGGCCGCCTAGCAAATGAATACAAAGATCATGAAAGACACATATGATTTACCAAGGAGTTTAGAGTTTATTCTGTGACCCACGGAGAGTCATCTGGATTGTAAGCAAGGAGGTAACTGAAGCAGATCTCTTGGGTAGGAAGATCATTTTGAGAGATGTACAAAGGAACTTCACAGCAAGGAGAGGGGAGTGGCAGAGAAACCAGGCAGGGAGCAACTGAAAGAGAGCATGGGTGAGAAATGAAGAGGCTTGAACAGAGGGAACTGGACATATGATAAGAAGGTAAAATCCGTAGAATTTAGTGACATCTAAACATCTCCCCTGTTGTAGATCCCATGTACTTTGGGGAAGTGGACCACAGCCCAGTCTTTTTTTTTTTTTAAAGATTCATTTATTTATTTGTTTGTTTATTTATACAAGCACTGGGTACAGTCAGAAGCACGGGATGGTGAGAGGATTCACCAGAGCCAGAGCAGGGAGCAGAATAGGCAGACTGACGAAGTACACTGCTGAGGGGAGCAGCGGGCGTGGCAGGAGAGGTCTGCGTGACATGTGGGACCCTTGCCGGCGGCTGGGGATCGAACTGGGGCTGCAGAGGCTGCAGGCAGCTTCACAGCACAGCGCTCAACCACCTGCACCACAGGGAGGCCCCCCAGCCCAGTCTTAATGGTGAGTCTTCAACAAGTACCTGAAAAGATGCTCACCATCACCATTCAGCAAGGAAAAGCAAATCAAAACCACAATGAGACATCGCCTCCTGCCTGTTAGAACGGCTGTCATCAAAAAGACAAGAGATAACAAATGCTGGCAGGGATCTGGAGAAAAGGAAACCCTTGTGCACTGTTGGTAGAACATAAACTGGCAGAGCAACCATGGAAAACAGTATGGAGGAGCCTCAGAAAATTAAAAATAGAACTACCAGATGATTCAGTAATCCCACTTCTGGGAATCTAGCCAAAGGATATATTTATTCTGTAACTAGCTAGAAAAGACATCCGCACCCTCATGTTTATAGCAGCATTTTTTACAATAGCCAGGACATGGAAACAACCTGTGTCCAAGGGGAAATGAATGGCTAAAAAAGGTGTGTGTTTAGGCAATGGAGTATTACTCAGCCATGAAAATTGCAACATTTGCTGGTGTCTGCATCAACATGGATGGACCTTGAGGGCATTATGTTAAGTAAAATAGGTCAGAGAGAGAAAAATACCATAGGATCTCACTTTTGTGTGGAATCTAAAGCAAACTCAGGGACCTCCCTGGTGGTACAGGGGTTAAAGTCTCAGTGCTATCAAGCTATTGCCAGTCACTGCAGCATGAGTTTGATCCCCAGGGAGGTGACCCACATGATGAAGCAGACCTCTCCTGTCTCACCCACTGCTCCCCTCAGCTGTGTATTTCAGTGGATACACCTGTTTTGCTCCCTACTCTGTCTCTGGTGAATCCTCTCACCCCCCTCCCACCTCTGGCCTGCATCCAAGTTCTTGTATGCATAAATACATAAAAATAAATCTTTAATTAAAAAAAGAAACTCATAGGAAAAAGATCCAGATTTGGAGGAAGGTGATCAGATGGTACAAATTTCCAGTTGTAAGATACATAAGGGATGGGGACGTGATATAGAACATAATGATTAAAATTAATACCCCTGTGTTTATATGTACATATACATATATATGTTCTTTTTTTTTTTAAGATTTATTTATTTATACAAGCACTGGGTACAGGCCAGAGGCATGGGAGGGTTAGAGAATTCACCAGAGACAGAGCAGGGAGCAGAACAGTCAGAAGGACCGAAGTACACTCCTGAGGGGAGCAGTGGGCGAGACAGGAGAGGTCTGCGTGCCATGTGGGACTCTTCCTGGCTGGCCGGAAATCAAACTGTCGTTGCAGAGGCTGCAGACAGCTTCACAGCGCTGCACTCACAGCGCTGTGCTCAACCCGCTGCGCCACTGGGGAGGCCCTACATATATATGTTCTTTTTTTTTTAAAGATTTATTTATTTATTTATTTATACAAGCACTGGGTACAGTCAGAAGCACGGGAGGGTGAGAGGATTCACCAGAGCCAGAGCGGGGAACAGAACAGGCAGACTGACGAAATACACTGCTGAGGGGAGCAGAGGGCGTGGCAGGAGAGGTCTGCGCCCCATGTGGGACCCTCGGTGGCGGCCAGGGATCAAACCAGTGCTGCAGAGGCTGCGGGCAGCTTTGCAGTCCAGCACTCAACCGCTGCGCCACCAGGGGAGGCCCAACATATATATGTTCTTAACAGCTTTCATATATGTGCATATGAAAACTGTTAAGAGAATAGATCCTAAGCATTCTCATCACAAGAATATTTTTTCTTTTTGTATCTATATGAGATGATGAATGCTAATTAAACTTATTATGGTTATCATTTCATGATCTATGTAAGTCGTCATTATGTTGTATACCTTAAACTTACCAGTGATGTATGTCAATTCTATCTCAAAGAGAAGACTGGCTCACACTAATTAGCCTTGACTGACTCACACTAATTAGCACATTTCATTGCTCATGCTATAGTTCTGGGTTCAGGTGTGAGCATGTGAGCTCAGTCTGCTAATAAGGGTGAATGCAGAACTCTTTTTATTTTTATTTATTTATGCATACAAGAACTGGGGTATAGGCAGAGATGCATGGGGTGAGAGGATTCACCAGAGACAGAGTGGGGAACAGAACAGGCGGATCTACTGAAATACACTGCTGAGGGGGGCAGTGGGCGAGACCGAAGAGGTCTGCTGTGCCACGTGGGTCACCTCCCTGGCTGGGGATCAAATTCATGCCATAGCAGCTGACAACAGCTTGATAGCACTGAGACTTCAACCTCCGAGCCACCAGGGAGGTCCAGAATGCATAACTCCTGACGGGAATGCCAGGCTGGATGGTGTCCCCTACTAGGCATAAACAAGGAGCTTAAAGATCTGACTTCATTGGCAAACATGCTGTGTCCCAGGGGAATGAGCCA